AACTATTCATCTTCCAATACACTCCAACTATATAAACTCTTGAGTATGATTGAGACTTGATCAAAAGCCCTTACATAAATTTTTTGCCTCCCCCAACTACATGTTTAACATCCCAGCTGCAAGCATTTTACGTAGAAAGTGGACTTAAAAGGCAGCTGGTATATATGTAGAAGAAAATTAATGAAAGCTATTACTTGGTTCAAAATAAAGCTAAGGGATGCAATTCTACTTTTCATGATTAGTTTCATAACCCGCGCGCGGGATTAATTGTGCTAGAGAAGAGAATGAAAGGAAGTTGTCAAGAAAGGAAGACAAGTACAAGATCAAGTAACCTGATTTAGCTTGGATTTATATGTTTTGTGATTTGTTTGTTTTGCACGATAGAAGAATTTTGAGGTATGTTCATAATGGGTCGAAATACCTTTTGTACTCTTATTTTAATATAAATTTCATATTTTTTTTGGTAATTAAAACGAAAAAAGCTCTTGGACAAGTTTACTTGTCTCTCAAAACTAGTGAATCTAAATATTATTTCTTCTCTTTTTGAGTGCATCTTTGATAATTAACTTTCTTAAGCTGGCACTTCCTTATTTTTTATTTTTTATTTCTTTGTATCTAAGTTCTTTATATATATATATATATATAGAATGATGAGATATGTATAATACAAGATAGTTTTCCCTATCTATCTCAAGAATTAAGTTTTAGACCTTTAATTTGAAATTTTAAACTCTTAATTAATTGTTGAGACATCTTCTAGGATGTGTTTAAGGTTCTCTAACGCTGTGGATTATAGAATATTCATGTCAAATTTTGACAACCAACTTCTAGCTGCAATAGGTGCACTCACTTTTTTTTTTTTCTTTTTTTGGATCCATTTTTTGCCTAAACTAAATTTTAAAATTATCCCATCCACCCTAAATTGATTCTTCACCAAATCCTTTTATCACCCTCTACGACCAATTGATTTATTATCATCCCATAAAGTTTATTGAACACAATACTATTCCTGCTCTTCTATCTCCCTATCTATTGTAAGGGTTTGTACTTCTTATAATATAATTTTGATTCATTGAAAAAAATTGATTTGTGTTGGTGGTGACAAGACTAACTTTTTTCTAAAGGATTATCCTTGGTTTTTACCTTCTTCAATCTCCTCATATTTGAAAATATCATGTTAATTTTCATCTTTATTATAAATTTTTTCCTTGTGCTATTTACATAATACTCTATTTTGACTTATCTTTTTAGGAATGGACTACGTTTTATTTCTCATAGCAATTAATTGTCTCCTGAAAGTCAGAAATTGATAAATTAATATATATTTTGTAGTTTGATTAATTAACACGGGAAAAACAACTATTAAAAGTGAAATTTAAATTCAAATATTTTTCCTGTTTAGGAATGTAAATTTGATTTTTATGTCTTAAAAATACAAGCATTTAAAAATATATTATTCAGCTAAAATGTAATTATCACTATTTTGAAATCCATGTATTTATTTTATATAGGTTGAGTATATATATATATATATTTATGTATATTAGTAAGCATTCAAATTTTACATTCAAAAACAAATATAAATATATATATATATATTATTAAGTATTCAAATTTTTCATGGATCTAAGATTTATGAGATCCACAATGTATTTTTCTTTGCACTAATCTACTCTTTTCTTATACAAAGCCAAATAAATGTACTCAAAATTGAAGATTTAATTAAATTCAAATGCACACTCAAATTTGTAATTCACAAACCAATTATAATTTAAATTGTAGATTTAATAGGGTGCTAGATGATGTTAAAGTTGTATGTCAAAATTTCCAATGGCACAGCAATGCCCTATAAGTATGTCAAACCCTCCTTTGTGAAACAAGTTAAAAGAAAAGAAAAGAAAAGAAAAGGAAAACTATTTTCCTTTACCACATTCAAAATCCTTTTTTTTTTTTTTTTTTGATACATATAGCTATAATAATAAACAAAGTAATTACCATGTGAACTATACAGAAGTGACATGTAAGATAATTAGGCACTGAAAAGTTTTAAGTATTAGTATAAATCATAATGATATTACTAGAGTTATGTAAAAACAATTTTACATAGAGAGATTACTTTAGAGCTTTCTATTCATTGTTGGTAACTACCTAGATTTTATCATCTAGTCCTAGCACAAGAGATCATAAGACATGGCAATGTAGTGTCTCACACAACAATGCTCTGTCAAAACTCAAGTGAACTTCTAATTTGCAGATGGATGAAGACATCTATCTGCATCGCCATCGCAGCACCTAAGTCATCTAGCCTCATCTTAGGTAAGGTTACTAGCTTTTGCTGGCGCTTAAATGAGGTCATTGCAGGCGCTTTTGTGTGCCTGCATAACCCTATCCAGCGCTCAAGCAAGCGCCTGCATGAGGCCTGCAAATGCCATGTCGGGAAAGATACCAGTGGGCGTAGGCTGGAATGCCTGAACTTTGCATAATCTAAAAGTGCCCGCAAAAACGTAATTTGTAGGCGCTTCAAAGCGCCTGCAATGACTAGGAAGTGCCTACAATAACCTGCTATACAGGCACTTCCTAAAGTGCCTGCAAAACAGGTTATTTTCATACACCCTGCTGCGCCCAGAGTATACTTACTGAAGGTTGAAAAATCCTAATTTTCAAGCGCCTGACAAGCGCCTGAAATGACCTATATAAGTGTTCAAAATAAATGCCCAGACCCTTCTTTACCCCTGCATACTCTGTTTTCAGGCATTATAAAGTGCCTACAAACTCAGAAATATTCATTTTTAAAATCAGTCATAAAACAACAAAAATTCATTCATCCATATATTCAAAATATTTGTCAATTCATGCGTCTATGACACTGATTGTCACCAAGTAAAGAAGTTCTATAGCCTACAATTACTTCAAACCATTTCTTACCAAACTGTCACCAAAACATCTATATGACACTAATTAATTTAAGCAATGGCATCCAAAAACCAGAATAATTAACACAAGATTACTACATTTGGCTTGAAGAAGGGTGGCTTGAATAAGACTGTTGGCTTGATGAGGAGGGCTGGCTTGATGAAGAGGGCTGGCTTGATGAAGAAGAAGAAGGCTGGTTTGCATTTACCCTAGCAGTGATACTAGATAGATCCTGCAATTGTACGTAATTTGACAAAAGTTAAGAATACTTTCAATTAATCCACATTGCAGAACCAAGAATGATCAACAGAACATGGAAAAATGTAAAACATAAGAAGATACAGAAAAATGATCCATACCTTCTCCCATTATATTCTGCATTTTGTGCTAAGAGATCATGGTATTCATGTCAAAATTCCACAAAGCTACAAGGCTATCTATCAATGGCAATAGAAATAATAGATGAAATCCAAGGACAATGCATGAAATCATCATTCATGCTAATAGAACTCAAGTCTGCATGTTGTTAGCACATAGCCTAAGAATGCAAAAACACAGAAATATAACTATCCAAGCATGTGTCCAGATATAAGGGGCAGTTCTTTAAAATCAGATGAAATTAGAAAAGATTGTAGCACTAAATTAATCAAAATAACTCATCCAAAGCATCCAAGCACGGAAGTAGGACATATAAATTAATTTGTGATGGAAAGACAAAACAGAAAAAACGTAAACATCAGAAAACCTTTAACAGCAAAACCCATTTGGCCTTAACTCGGTTAACTACTACCATTAAATAGTAGTTCAAAACCCATTGGCCTTAGCCAAACATGTCCCAAACCCATCATTTCTGAATCCATAAACAACAGACCCAGAAATTAAAACTGCTCATAGAATGCACTCAGTCAAATAATCATACAGTAGAAAGAACAGAAGGCCTTAGTATACGCCGACAAATGACAAATTGACAAAACCAACCTGCATCCGACACTAAAGTTTTCTAAAAGCAAATAATGCCAATGCATCTGTTAGCAATATCAATTAACTGAAGTTTATGTTACTAATTCAATGTGAAATTAGTTAAATTAATACCTAAAAAAATAAAAATTTAACAGCTTAAAGGTATATTGTATCAATGAGCTGCATGCAGCCGCTTTGTTAGATTCAAAAACATTATACATAATGTTATAATATTAATAACTACCCTGCTTTTGAGAATACAGAATGGAGAAAAGATAATAAAGCTATAAAAATTCTGGCAAACAAAACAGAAAAAACGTAGACAGAAGAAAAAAGCATGTAAACATACGGATCAAAAAAACGGAAATGAAATGATCTTAAGACATAACATCAAAGCCAAAAGTGAAAGAGATGAAATTACCAATTGGAAGGGAGGAAAACAGCAGATTGGTGAGCAAAAGTTAGGAGAGGTACCATATTTGATCAAAAGACAAATTATGTTAAGCCATGATTACAAGACTCACTGTAAGATAATAATTTCTTCACTTTCCAACAAGTTGAACATGGTCAACTAATTTAGAAATCGATCCACTTTCGAATACTTTAGATATATTTGGTTTTTAAAAAAAAATAGTTGAGAATAATTATTTAATTAATTAAATTATAATATTAACAAATAATATAATATAATATTATTTATTTATTTATCCTTTCTTTCATTTTTTTTTTTAATTGAACATACTTTTTTTATCGGGTTAATGAAAAATCATCTATAGTCACATACACTGGCAGAGAATCACTCAACCTGGTCAAGTGATCTATAACGAACTGCCCTCATAAGTCATAAGTCATAGTACAAAGATTCATAAGTTACAAAGAATCCGACCTCATTTTCTATACCGGCAGAGAATGTGCTCATCATTAAGCTTCATAGAGGAACACTCTGTACCACTACTAACATCTATAAACAATCAAGCTCCTTTTTCCAGGGCACTTATAAATAAGTTTCACTGCCACAAAGAGGATCCAAACAACAAACATTTTTCAATATATCATTCACGAAGACTATACATCCACTCGATAATTTCCATACTTTAGCCAAATTTCTTCAGAAATTCCACATCCTACCTTAATTTCTAAGCTAAAATTATCATTTTACAGCATATTCGAAATAATTTCTAATAAAAATCAGACAATATATAAACAAAGGCAAGTTACAATGCAAAGAAATCTATTAACAGATCTGGCAAACAAAATACTGGATCTCATTCATAACGCCAGACACAAATTAGAAACAAAATCGAATAAGAAAATCTTCATATAAAATTAAAATTGAGAAAAAAAAAAAAAAACCACCGAAACAGATCCGCAAAGATTCAAAAGAAAACACCGCTGCTTAACGTAAATTCGAGGTAAACAAATCGAAAATTCAATCGCAATCGAAAGATTGGAGGATAAACGAAGCTTACTATTCGTTATTCATGGTCGTGGTACGAGAATCGGAGGAGACGATTGTGAAAAAGAGGAATCCCACCTCCCTCGATTGTTTCCTGCACAACCATACGATGAGGTTCGTTACGACCATCTCATCGCCACCGCCCGAATGTTCATCATTTGTTGAAATTGGATTCAATTCTCAAATTTCAGAATCATAAACAGGGGATTTTGAGAAATCTAAGAAGAAGACACAAACCTAGAGTACTTGATGAGATTCGAAGGAGAAGACACAAAGGATAATGCGAAATCAAAATCTGAGAAATCAAAATCCAAAATGAATATCAGGTTTCAAGAGAAATCAAAATCAAAATTGAAGAGACGACGACCTAATGGAGAGATTTGAAGCTTACCAACTGCAATTGGTTTAGGGTTTCTACTTACCCAGTGGAGAGACTCTGGAAATGAGACAAAAGTTTTGAAAATGAAAAGAACGAAAGGGAGAATACTGAAATAGAAAAGAACGAGAGACAGAAAGGGAACGAGAGACTGGAAGGAGACGAGGTAGTGAAGGGAAAATAGCGCGGGGTTTTGGGAAAATAACGCGGGGAGTTGGTTTTGGGGGATTCTATTTCTAACTATATGTCCTGTTTCTTCTTCTTTTTTTTTTTTTTTTTTTTTTTTTTTAATATACGGGCCCTTTTCAAGTGCCGGAAATGAATTAACATTTCAAAATGCATAAATAAAACGCCCAAAAAGCACTCTACCCCAAGTTAGGATTTCCAGCACACATAGTAAGCGCCTGAAATAAAGTGCAGGTAAATGCTGAAATTCTTGTAGTAGCCCTTTCATCTTCAGAGGTAACCAAAGCCAACTTCCAAGGTGATTTCTGTAATATTCCATCCAAATCATAGTTTTTTGTAAATTGGAACAGAAAATTTCCTCACCCAATTTCCTGACTTGCATGCTAGATCTAGTTTTCCATGAGGATGCAATTGCTCTCTGTAGAACTATAAAATTAACTCTTTTGTGAGCATGAACCTTCCTAATAATGTATGGCGATTCAGTTGAGGTAATCGAATTATTCTGAGTGATTTCAAGGGAAAGCTCAATTTTTTTACCCTCAAACAACCAGGTCTAGCAAAGGAGAGAGACAAGATCTGCAACTTCCACACACCACAGGATGCAGCCTCCCGTGGTTGGACATCTTCTGTGGTCTGAAGGCCCTGTAGATTGCTTTCATGATAGAGCAAGGTTGGAGCAGCATGGTCAAGGTAAAGCAAGGACTGTATGGTGTGCGGGAAGGCTGCAGCTAGCCATGAACCTTGTGGACCATGTAGGTTGCTACCAATGGGAAAAGGAGAAGAAAGAAGGTGCTCCTAACTAGAGGAGAGAAAAAACTAGAGAGAGAGCCTAATCTAACCCTAGATAAGAGGCAGATAATTTTTTTTTTTTAATTTGGCAAATAAATAAATATTATTATACGGAGTATAAGAGTACTCCGACCCATATATAAATTTATGAAAAAACTAACTGAAACAAAAAATTTAACATGCGCACCCATTCCGGCATCTTATACCAAAAACCAGAAAACTCATGAAAAAACAGCCCATCCAGTTAGCGCATCATGCACGCCCCTTTTGGTTCTTATGAAACACCTTCAGCAACCTTTTATGCTTTCTTATAGCCACAGCACTCTTAAGCGGATTAACCTTCCAATCAAAAAAAGAAAAATAGGAGGCAGATAATGTTTGCTACATTCAAATGAAACCCCTGTAATTAGTCATTCTTGTGTTTTAGGTATGTAGCCTAAGTTATAACCTGTATGAGGTGACCATTTTTTGAACTTGGATCCATCTTCATTCTTGGCATTCATCTTTTAGGCTTACATGGTGGGTTAAGTAGGTAATGTTGTGATTCTTTTCCTCACTAACTAGGGATGGTCTGAAACTCATGTAGTTTTGAGTGCTTGCGCACTTGTTAATTAATGAAATTGTTTACCTTCCGCAGAGAGGATATATGTGCTTTCCTTTTCAGTTTTATTCATTCATTCCTAGGAAACTGGTAACATGAATTGATGGCTTTTCTTTTCCCCTGTGAAATGCTTCAGCATGCAAAAGAGCATCGAACGATACTCTATGTACACAAAAGGAATTCCAACTCACAAGCTTGAAATGGAACAACACATCCAGGTTAGACCCCCATCTTTCATTGTACAGATTAATTTTCCATTAACTTTTTCTCGAGAAAAGGGGAGTTCAAAATTTATTTATTTTTCATAGAAAACAGAAACAATTATAGTTGAGAAAGCAAATTTTAAGGTTTGATGTTTGAGTGGGGGATCCTTACACAATCTGAGTTATATGAAAAGGAGCAGCTTGAACATTTAGAAGTAAGCATAGATGATAATATATGTAATATAATTCTATTTGGAAAGGAAAGATACGTACTTAATTTGCAGTTGATTAGGATGACAATTAACTTGGCTGCCAATCTGCTCCTTTTACTGTTTAGATCATGGTTTTGGACTCTAAATCCATGATTTAGGACGTGAAGAGTTTTAAAGCTCAGACACTGTGCTTGTTCTAGTCTCCTATATAAACAAGTTGCCAAGGGGCCAGTCCAAAACATGGCTGTAATACCTCATCAATTTCAGCAGATCATTCCAAGTATTAATCAAATCCATGCAATCTCTTGTTTTATAACTAGGTTTTGTTGCTTGATTCTTTGATACTTATGATTGGATTTCTCTATATATAATCGACTTTACATCTTCATTGCTCTTATCAAACAGCCCGGTTCATGAGTTGAAATAAATTACTAGCCTATGGCTCCTAATAATACTTACGGTTTCCTCAAAAAATTTTCAAAGTGCAGCACATGAGGATTGAAACAGAAAACATGGTTAAGAAGATTGAGGTCCTTGAAGTTTCTAAGAGGTTCAATGATTTAATGCTTATGTCAAGTTACTTCATCTCATCCAGGTGAAAGGATTTCTGAAGTTTAAATTTTTTATATCATACAGGAAGTTGTTGGGCCAAGGATTGGGCTCATGTTCTGTTGAGGAACTTCAAGAGATTGATAGCCAGCTAGAACAAAGCTTGAAGAACATCAGGGCAAGAGAGGTTTGCAACCTTTAGATTTGCATGTTTAGACTAAAAGTAGTTACATTAACGAATTAATGCATGACTACAGGGCTTTTGATTTTGAAGGAAATTAGGTTTTGAGTTACTGTCAAAAAAGCTTAATTCTTGATGTATTTATAGATATTTGCACCGTCATTGGACCCTTATAGACATACAATGGCCACATTTCCTCAAACTCGTCTCCTTCTTGGGTTATATTCCTAGATAGACCTGCAACCTTCATTATTTAAAGTTTAACCATCTAAGTGTTTCAAGATCACCTCCATGATGCGGGATTGGATTAAATGTACCCTATAATAGATTCTTTATTGTGCCATCTGCCTACATGAAAGGGACTTTGGCTTGACGTTCCTCATATGCATTGATCTAAATTTCTCCAGTGTACTAGATTCTTTATTGTGCCATACATCTACTTACATATAATTCCAAGACAATACTTGAAAATTGTGTTTGCTTGCATGAAAATACTTACACTACACATGTTATGTCCTATCTTATAGGCCCAGTTACATGAGGAGCAAATACAGGAACTAAAAGCAAAGGTAAGAATAACCCCCTCTATTGAATAAAACACATAGTACTTCCTCAATCTTCTAGCTCTAAGCTAATCAACAATGTCACTCTTGTATGCTTTTTTCTCAATAATACATTTTTTGTCTTAATTTAGGAGAGAAAGTTGTTAAAAGAAAATGTGAAATTATGTGAAAAGGTGAGTCTTTCATTTTCAAATCTTTAAGTTTTTTTCTTTTTACTTAAAAAAACAACCCATAGTTTTGTAGTCCAAATTGACACTAGATTGCAAAAACTAGGCCATTCGATAATGGGGGCCACCCTACAATCAAGAGCCCCCTCATTCAATGACTCATATTTAACAATCTAGTATAATTGAGACTTCAAAACATAATGTTTGAAAAAAAAAAATTTATCTGACTCTCTTTTGATTTGGATTTTAGTGTGGTGGAAGAAAAGTCATGGCAACAACCAACCCAACATAGGAAGCCATTAAACAATTGCACTCAAAATAAGAGTCCTCGGAGGTTGAGACAGAATTGTTCATCGGACTGCCACAAAGCCATTAGTAACAACTACCTAAATTACTTTATGGTTGAAATTATTGTGTTGCCCCAAATAATGCTGTATGATCAGTGTATGTGGCTGGTTAGTACACTACTTTTCTATTTAATATTTTCTAGTTTAACTATATATATGATCTAAATGTAACTATAGTATAAGGGTATTTCAGAGATCTTAAAAGGCAAGTTTGTTTAAACAAATTCTTCACTCACAAATTCAAGATTTTGTTGGAGGAAAATTGGACAATTGGATTTTCAAATGAACTTAGTAAGTTATGAAAAAAAGCTATAGATGCGTCTGATTTTTTAATTTCCTTTCAACAAATTTTTAAACTTAGGAGAGAAAATTTTACTTAAAACAAACTTGCTTTTTAAAATTCTTCCAAACAGCTTTTATACGGTATAAGAATACCATAAAAAATGGTGTAAAATGCTGCGGATCATGACATTATGAAACCCTGAATTCAGTGTATCATCTGATTGCATGGGTATGTAGCATAAGAGGCTATAGCCGCACCCAAGTGCAGTTCTGTATTCTAGTGATTAATTTTTTTGAAGTTCTTTTTATAATGATACCTAGGACTATCATTATTCATTACTTTTAACAGAAACATCCTCACATTGTCATTTTATTTTTGAAATCTTTGCATCTTGTTTCATCTCACTTAATCTGTGGGGGAGAAAGCAGCTGGTAAGAGCAAAACGGTTAACGGACTGAGGTCCTAGAACGTGGGGAAGCTTTCAGAGAAAAATACGGGGAAAATAATGGAAAAAAATAAATAAATAAAAGTTTGTGCATTGATGGTGGGCTTAGATCTTTGGGCTGGTTCGTTCTGTAGCCTAAGGCTTTGATATTTTTTAGGTGCTGGTGGGTGACAGGTGGCTATTTTTTGGTCAAATTATAAGAAGTTAAACTTGGTTAATACAGCTAATTAGGGCGTTACATTGGTTAATTAAGGGCAAGAGCAGGTAGTGTGGATTTAGTTTTTCAGATTGAGCGTTGGAACCAAGACAATATATGAATGCATGTGAATGTTGAGAGGGCTGTACGGTGACTCACAAGAATGTAGAAGAGTTAACGAGGTTCCGTACCCTTGTACTCGGAATGAAATAAATATTAATTTTTTACTGTTTAAAAAATATTAATAATTTTTAATTAAACTAATTGATAAATAAATGTATTTTTTATTATAAATTTTTTATTTGTGGATGTTTCACTTTCACCTTATTTTCATCTTTAATTTCTTCTATATTGTAAGTTCTTATCAATGAAAGTCATTCAATGCATGTTCAAAAAAAAAAAAAAAATGAAAGTCATTCAAAACCACACTTAAGTGTTATTCATATGACTCCACTAAGATGCCATTTATGACTCCACTAAAGTGTTATTCATACATACATTTAATCCTATTTATTAGTCAATTATCTACATTTAGTCCTATTTAATAGTCAATGAAATCCCCACATTTCTCTTAACCTATATATATGCCTACAAGTTTGTATTATGAATGATATGATAAAATAAGTAGTTACAAGTTCTTTTCCTTCTTGTTGGTGCTACTCTTCTGATTTTTATTGTTTTTGTTTCTTCTAGTTTCTTATAATTCACAACCTTTCTTACGTTTTTTTTTTTTTAAATTAAGTATTCCTTGGTTCTTTATTAATATATAATGAAAATTAGACATAACGGCATAGCTATTGTTAACATCTTATAAAAGTTTAGTTTTTATAGTTTTTTTTTAAATGAATCAAAATATTTTATTATGATGAGGAGTACAAGGGGTACTCTACTTAAAGTCTCCATGAGACATTACAAGTGATCACTTAAGAGGACATTCAAAAAGCGAAAAAATGAATGCCTGAAAGTGTAATCTAACTTTTAGTAATTTTTTGGACACATAAACTAGGAAAATTACACCAACAAAAAAAGGAAAACATAGTGTTTACATATTTCCCCCTAATCCATGCAAAAGACCTCCTTTGAATTAGATCAAATGTTTTGTCCTCATCCCATTGTTGTGAGTTGTGGATAATGTTGTTTCTTGTGTACCATATGGACCATGTCACCACCAAGAAGATGAAAAGTCAGCTTTAACTAGTTTCTTATCCCTTGGTTGTGAGCTTCACAAAGAAGAGAAACTGAGTTGGGTAAGGAGATGAAAATCCCCCACCATTTGTAACATCTCATCCATAGATCCTGGATCTTCAAACATTGAACAAATAAGTGATTTTCATCCTCAACATCCCTTTTACATATGCTGCAAATGCTCTCCTATTCTTTAAGCAAAATGCCCCTCATTTAAAGACTTGATTTTGTTGGCAAACCATTAAGGAGAAGGCACCAACCAAAACAGCTAACTTTTGTTGGAATTAATTTGTTCCATAGCCTCTTGCATATTCTTGACTCCAGAATTTTGCTCTGTCCAATCATCATTGAGTAGGCCTTGTCGACTATGTACCCGTTTGCTGCATCTAAGCTCCAACTTCTTTGGTCTGGTTGGGAGGATAGCATAATCCCGCTCGTGAGGATCTCCTTTAATCTTTGTTCTTCATTCTTTTCCTTACCAAATAGTTCATGTCTCCAAATATTTTTCCACATCCAAGATCCATTAGAAAAATGGTCCACCTCCATAACTTTAGCATTCTTATTAGAGGCCAAATTAAACAATCTAGGAAAAGAGTCATTTAGAGTTTCAATTCCTACCCATTTGTCCTTCCAAAATTTGATTTTTTCACCCATCCCCAACTTCCAGCGGAATCCCTCTCTAAATGTCTATGCACCTTTACCCCCTTCATCACCTAATGTCACAATATTTCTCCATAGAGTGGATACATTTCTAGTTTGAACTTCTTTAATATCTCATACTATACCACCTCCATAAAACTTATCAACAATAATTTTCTTCCAAATACTATGCTCTTCCTTCCTAAATTTGTCCCAACACTTCCTTAAAAAAGCTGTGTTCCTACACTCAAGATCCAGCACACCTAATCCTCCCTCATTTCTACCCTTACACACTTTCTTCCAACTTAACCACGCTATTCTATTCTTCTCCTCCATATATCCCCATAAGAATTTTCTTTGTAAGCACACAAGTTCATGAAGCACAATTTTAGGAATTTAAAAAAAAAAAAGACATAAAATAATCAAAAAGGTAGAGAGAACAAACCTTAGCAATGCAACTCGGCCACCAATCGACAGGCTTTTCGCTTTCCAGATTGCCAGCGTTTTATTAAAGTTGTCAATAACTGGAATCCAAGGCCTTCTTCTACACATAATGTCACCAATTGGCATCCCAAGGTAGGTGAAAGGGAGTGATCTAGATTTGCAATTGAGATTAGCAGCCACCATTCTCTTCCATTCATCGAAAACATAGCATAAGTATAGGACACTTTTGTTAAAATTAATCTTCAAGCCTAACACTAGTTCAAACCATCTCAAAATCCCTTTCACAACTTTAATATTGCCAAGATCTGCCTTCCCCATTATAATAGTATCATCAACGAATTGGAGACGTGAGATGTTAAGACCATCGGAGCCTACAGGAATTCCTTGGAATAATTCCTTTCTAATGGCTAATTCAATTAGCATGTTCAAACCTTTAGCAACAATGAGAAAGAGTAACGGAGCAATCAGGTCACCTTATCTTAACCCCTTCTCCATTTTAAACTTGTCCATTGGACTTCCATTAACAAGAACTGATGCTGAAGTTATTTGCAAACACTCCTTTATCCGCAATCTTCATTTTTCCCCAAATTCGAGCCTTCTCATCATTTCATCTAGGAAAACCCAATTCACGCTATCGTATGCCTTCTCAAAGTCTGTTTTAAAAATGAAGCTACTAATCTTTTTCCTCCTCATTTC